TGAATGGACAGAATTCAACTACTCTTTAGGAAAATTTGGACAAAGCTTTTAACTGTATTGTCTGTGCACGGTATCCTGTAACCCTGCCGAAGGCTGTTGCACCCAAAACAGACTAATTCCAGTATTAAAGCTCAGGCAAATTGGGCTCCACAAGTAACAGAATTCTTTTCATATTTGAAATAAGAAAAGGGCCTTGAAAGTTTTTGGAAATGAATGAGTGGCATTCAGAGTAGTTGATGTTTTTATTAAAGTGGCAGTAGACAAGTATTTTTGCTTTAACTTATCATAATGACGAAAATATTGATTGGACAATGTAATGAATATAGAATAATGAAACCATTCGCTTTTAGATTGGTTCCCTACGCGCCTCGCTTTCACCGCCACCAGGTACGAAATGTTGCAGAAACATGAAGGTTTCATTTACGGCACAAAGGAAGTGTCGCTGCCATTGGGCAGCCCGAATGGTAAGAAGGTTAGCTTTTGTTTCCTCTGCTAGCTATCGGTAGCTTTCTAGGGTTAGCGGAGAACAGAACAACTGTGCAGACGGAGGTGAAACGAGAGTGAACCTTGGACAAACTTGAGAGGTTTCAAAGCCGCAGAATTTCTAGTAGATCTGTAAGTAACAAAACCTGATGACTTATTAATACAACTGGGTGTTAATTAATACAACTTCATTCTACTGTTTTTGGAGGACTATGACCTTGATGACTGAGAATCTAAACAAACTCTGCCTTTGTTATTGAGGTTTCTGCTTCAAATTGGGATCCTTATGGTTGTTTCTTGCGTTGGATGTTAGCCAGGCCGATAGCCACGTCTCACTTCACGTCTTCAGTGAACACGCCTCTTGCTTCTCTTACTCCCAGTGCGACAGTAATACCACCAAAGAAGAACACTGCTGGATATTGTGTTGACTTTGATCCACGGCGGTTGTACGTCCCGGTCTTTCACGTGGACGGTGAATTGAAGGACTTCGCAGCGACTTTGAAGGTCTTACGAAGTGAATAAAGGGGTGCAGTAAGTCAAGCTGCCTTGACTACTCTTTTCAGCTCCGTCCATCATGCACCTCCACATTATCAGCGACTTTGCTTTGCTCGTTGCCCTTGGTTTACATCACATTGAATTAGAGGCTACATCCTGAATGATACCAAAGTCAATCCTCCTCCATCGCTTCCATATGTTTTGGAGAAGGAGCAGCGAGTTCAAAGCGCTCAGTTCAAAGCATCTGTCCTCATTTGAATAACGTAGAGTAATCGCTATTACCTTATTTAAATAGTGCAAGTTATCATTTGGCCTTCATTTGCATTGCAGGGGTAATCACTGCGTCTCTGCATTAACCTCATTATAGAAGAGATGAAAGCCCTGATGGAGCCTGACACACTCTTTTATATAAGTTATCTTTATTAATGATGGAATTAGAAAGATTCATGTTTCTTTAAATGGAGGACATATCGGAGTTTGATGGAGTGTCAAACTCTGTGGAGGGAATAGTTTGTAAATCACAAAGCTTGGTGTGTTCTCTTATTTTTCTCTTCCCTTTCTCCCCCTTTCTACTGTTTTCTTCCCTCATCTTCCTCCTCGCTTGCTTTCTGACCTCCTCCTCCTCCTCCTCCTCCTCCTCCTTCATCTCTCTGTCGTCCATCAGCAGCTTTTTTCTTTTTTTCATGTGTTAAATCAACTAATAATGATCTGGGAACAACCTTATTTCGCAATGTCGTCACTCTTGTCAAGAATCTTGCCTGGTTGCATTTCACTGACGACCTGCAGACAGAATTCACTTCACTAAGTGTTTGAGGCTGATCCAGTAATCTGTGCAGGAAAAGAAAGTCTTTCAGTTTGTTGGCTGTTTATTAAACCCCGGAGATATTGGCATCAGTGCAAAGAATATAAATAAATGTTGATATTCAATTAAAGTTTATTTTGAATATTTTAAGACCCTGCTTTTAAAACTGCAGGGTCACTGATGAGTGCAGAGATTTCTCCTTGTCACGTCATGGCAACGAAAGATTCTCAGGTCATATCACAAAACTCATAATTATTATTTTGTGTCCTGATTTTGTAAATGACCACTTCACCCCTCCCCCACCCTGTACTATGAAAATGGCATTTCCTGATAATATCAGCACCGGATTAGGTCAAGTACTTGACAACGTTGTTGTAATTCCTTGATCGTCAGCGGAGGGCTTTAATTAGGATACTGACTGGACGATTACTCAGTAGGCCACATGTGACGGTGGATATTCCTGCAGCAGAATCTAGAGACACGCTGTTGACCGACCCTGCGTCGGCGAGGCAGGTTCATGGCGTCTGCAAACCAAAGACCAGACGCTATGAAAACACGGCGTGCAGCGACTGCAGCTGAATCAGGTGGAGGAGTGGACTGTAGATTAGCAGGGGAAGGCGTGCACTGATGTCTGAAGATGTGGCGTTCCTCTCAGCTAGTGATGCCGAAGAGATGAAGTAGAAACGATAAAGATTTCATGTGCAATGCTAAAGCCAACATTTAATATACATGTAATTAGTGATTATTGTTGTTCATACCATCTTAGGATCATGTGGTGTTAAGGATAGGTCGGATAGAAGAGGGGAAAAGGACGTGTTACAGCTGTGTGGTTAAGATGTGTTGAGATTGTTTGGTTGGAGATAACCATGAAAAAGAAAATTGGAAAGTCAAGCTTCACTTTTTATTTCATTTTGTATAATTAAGCACTTGATTATAATTTCAAAAGCCCTGTGTTTTGTAGTTATTACTTATTACAGCCGTTATCTTCCTTGAAATGCTAAAAGAACATGTAGTTATTATATTATTATGTAGAGAATATATATAAACATCTTAAGTATCATTATTACCCTGTACAACCCCCAACGTTCAGCCAACGTTCAGCCATAGTTCTGGACCTTGAGGAAATGTCGTCTTAACTGAACTCTTTGAATTTGAACTGAATGCCCTGCTGTATATAACCAGTTTTTATTGCCTGTTGAACTCGGGGAGACGTATTGTTTAAACAGTATAATCGCACATACTGATCATTAGAAAGCCTGTTGTGAAGTCTGTGTTGAGCCCAAAGCCTCATTTTCTCTTCCTTTGTCCAGTTTTCCTGACTTGTAATTTTCTCCTTGAAACACTGCCCTTTTATTGCTGCGTTTCCACTTAATATATTCTCCGTTTTAAAGGAGCCTCCCAGCTAATGCAAAACTTCCCTCTGCTCAGCTCTTTGTCTGAGGCGTTCCCCGCTCGGTACACTGGGAGGGTGACAGGCTTGCCAGCCCCTGCTAGACTCCCCTCGGCTAAAATGTTGTAAATTAACACAATTAGCAGATCGCCATTCTGCTAATTAGCCACTGGCGTCTGCCGAGAGATGGCTAGAGAGAGGAATCAGAGAGGAAATAGGAGTCTGGGGATTCCCCCCTCCCCTCCTTGTGTTGTTACCAAACAAACACAGGGCCTCGGAAAAGAGAGCAAGAGAGTGTGAACGTGTATGTGTTTGTGCTTGCCTGCTTCTTCTTCTTCTTCTTCTTCTTTTTTTTTTTTTCCTTTGTGCATGTCTGTGTTTTCAGCAGCAGCGTAAATGGACGGGAGAGAGAGAAGATTTGCTCCTCCATGAATGGGTTTTATTGTGCGAGCACAAAACCCACACAGAAACCAATTCCGAGGCAGGTATTGCTCACTAGACCCCCAGCTGTGGATCTCTACATGCATCCACTGCTAGTCAATAAGTCAGAGGAAGCAGCCTAAATGACACCGATATTATCCTTTATTTGTGTGCACTAAGTCAAATCAAACGGGGTTCAATCTGCCGTGCGGCTGCTGTGATTACGCCCCGTCCAGCCTTTGATAGCGCCACGGCTTTGATAGTGAGACAACGATGGAGTCGCTGTGTGACTGTCAGTGTTTGCAGATGGCATTGGCTGGGATTAAAGGAAACAGTGGCTCTCCAGCCTCCCGAGGCAATAAAGGGGAGAGCCAGGTGAGTGTGTCTGAGATGAGATGGAGCGAGGAAGGAGGGAGGGGAGGAGGTGAAGCAGGCACAGAGGGAGTAAATAAAAAGAGGGGTGGCCATGAAGAAAGAGCAGAGAGGGAATGAAAAGAAGAGATATATATCGAAATAGATGGAGTCAGAATAAAAGGGGGTGAGGAGAAATAAAGAAGGATCTCGCAGGAGGAGGGGAGGTGGAAAATGGATGACCAAAAAAAAAAAGAAGAAAAAGAGGAGAGAGTGAGAAGGAAGACAAGGCGGCAGGGAGGCATGAAGAAGAGATGCAGACAGAAAGGTAAAGAGAACGGTGGAGAGAGGAGGTCAAGGTGGAGCTGTGCAGACAGGAACTAAGCTTGAGACACAATGTGTTGTAATTCATAGCTCGCTACAGCTCCTGTGTGCGTGCCTGTGTTTGTCCGTCTGGGTCAGTGGATGTGAGCTTGTGAGCTCGTGTGTGTGTGCGTGTGCACGTCAGCACGCTTGAGTGCAGGCAGAGATAGTTTTTTTTTTTTTTTTTTTTAAACGCCTGTGTGTCTGAGCAGAGGTGTGTGTGTTTTTATGTGTGTGTGTGTTCGATGAAAGCAGCATGTGCAGGGGGGATGGGGGGGGGGTTCGTGCACGTGTGTGTGTGTTGTGTGTGTGTGTGTGTGTGTTGCTTTGAGGCGCTCGGCGAGGCGCATTTTCAAACCCATCTCCAGCCACCTCAGATGAGCCGGGGATTATAGAATGACCCTCCATGCCTCTGTCTTATTGGTCTGGCCGGGGTGCATTAGGCTGCCGTAACCAGCCCCGCCACCATCCCTCTGTAGCACACCACACCTGCCGACACACACTCTGCCCTCCTCCGCACGATGTGGAGAAATTACAGATTCATGTCTAGTTTGACACAAAACCCTCTCATGATGAATATCAGGAAGGAAAATGAATCGTGCTGCTCATGTGAAGGTTTTAATTTGAATCGCAGTTTAAATACGTCGGTGTGTTCACCCGCTTGTCTTTTGTCTGTTCCGTCCCCCAGGCTTAAAGATGCAGTGGACCCCCGAGCACAGCCAGTGGGCCGAACAGCATTTCGACATCTCCTCCACCACGCGCTCGCCAGCCCACAAGGCTGAGGCCTACAGGGCGTTGCCCGGCCACCTGCAGCGCTCCACCGCCTACCAGTACGCCTGGGCCAACGACGACATCTCCGCCCTCACCGCCTCCAACCTGCTCAAGAAGTATGCCGAGAAGTACTCGGGTATTTTGGAGATGCCGGGCTCGTACTCGGAGGCTCCCGGGGTGATGAACGGACGGAAAGGCGAATCGGAGCCCTGGCAGGACGGCGTCTACCCCATGAGCTGCATCCCCGAGGGGGTTTCGGTGAGAAAAGGAGGGGTGGCGGCGGCGTCGGAGGTGGTGTCGGGCATGTGCAGCTCCCCGGGCCTGGCCTCCAGCACCCTGAGTGAGCCCAGCTACTCCAGCAGCAGCTGTGGGAGCCACACTGCCACCGCCCTCCACTCCTCCTCCATGCCCTCTCAGGAATACGGCCCGGCGTACAGCGGCTCCTACTTGCACAGTAGTTACAGCTCGCAGTCCGCCCCCACCCCAGCTCTTCCCTCCCCACTGCACAGCTCCGGGCTCCTGCAGCCACCTCCTCCGCCGCCCTCCCACCCCACTTTAGTCCCAGCTTACAACGGAGGCTCCCCCAACTTGTCCAGTTATAATTACCCCCCAGCAGGCTACCCAGCTCAGAGCTCAGTCGGGCCAGGATACAGCCCTGGGGGAGCACCCCCTCCATCCTCATACCTCCCCTCAGGCATCGCTGCACCGACACCCCTTCCCCCGTCTTCTGCTTTACCTGGATACCCATACCAGAGCCACAACCTGACCCCCATCGCCCCGACCCCCCTCAGCAGTAGCTCCTCCAACTCCCTGAAGAGGAAGGCCTTCTACATGACAGGCCAAGGAGAGATAGACTCCTCCTACGGTAACTTCGGCTACGGTCAGGCTCGGAGCTCCGCCGAGAGCCCCATGTACCGGGTGGCGGACAGCAGCAGTGCAAACGGAGGCTCCAACAGCGGCGGCGGCGGTGGCGGCGGCTTCGACAGGAGTGCGGAGAAGTCGTCTTTTAATCCTCAGAAACAGTCCACCATGTCGTCAGAGCAGCAGAGGAAGTACAGCAGCCAGGCAGCAGGTGGGCCGCTCACTCCTCCGGCGTATGTCTCCTCCACCCTGGGGGGTTCCCGCTCAGCAGACTCCCTCGCCAGCTTCACCTCCCCCTCCCTCAGTGAGCAAGGTGCTGACGATCACCGCCTCCACCTCTCCCACTCAGCGCCAGGGCCTACCTCCTCCTCGTCCACGTCCTCCTCCCGGCCTGCAGAAGAGCAGTTAAAAACCAGTGACCCTCACCTCCTCGACATGGTTACCTCTGAAATCGTTCAGCAGGGCCCCCCCGTGGACTGGAGTGACATTGCAGGTCTAGAACTGGCCAAGGCGACTCTGAAGGAGGAGGTGCTGTGGCCCATCCTCCGCCCGGACATGTTCAGCAGTTTAGGACCGGCCCCTCGGTGCGTGTTGCTGTTTGGCCCCAGGGGCAGTGGCAGGACGTTGCTGGGTCGCTGCCTGGCCAGCCAGCTGGGGGCGCCGTTCCTTCAGCTCAGCGGGTCCACGTTGGCCACCAAGTGGCTGGCGGATGGAGAAAAAATAATCCGAGCGTCCTTCCTGGTGGCGCGCTGCCGGCAGCCCTCAGTGCTCTTCATCAGCGAGGTTGACATGCTGCTGTCGGCCCACCTCAGTGAAGAGAGTCCCATCAACCGGCTGAAGGGGGAGCTCCTCGCCCAGCTGGACTCGCTTCTCCTGGGCTCCGGCGAGGACGCGGGCAACCAAGTGTTGGTGGTCTGCTCCACAAGCAGACCCCAGGACATGGACGAAGGGCTGCGCAGGTACTTTTCTCGGAGGGTCCTGGTGCCCCTGCCGGACAGCGCAGCCAGACACCAGATGGTGAACCAGCTCCTGGCCCAGTCTCAGCACAAGTACTGCGTGAGCGAGGAGGAGCTGGCGCTGCTGGTCCAGCGTACAGAGGGTTTCTCCGGACTGGATCTGGCCAGACTCTGCCAGGAAGCCCTTGTAGGTCTGTTACACGTCTCTGCACAGGGCATGGACATGACAGGTATGATGCCCAGGGGACAGATAAGGCCCCTCACCTACCAGGACTTTGAGAGTGTCTTTTGTAAATTCCAAGCCAGTATATCACAGAAAGAGATTGACACGTACACTGAGTGGAACAAAATGTTCGGCTGCAGCCAGTGAAAAGATAGATTCCGCCCTTGAGAAAAAGAGGCATCCACAATTCCTTTCCTCAGGGCAGAAGCATTGTGCTGGAGGGGAAGGCACGCAAAGGCCGACGCAAGCCCACCGAGTTCTCACAAGCAGCTTGAGACGCTCCGAGAGACCTGGTCTGACGAGACAACTGGCAGTTTTGCGGTTAATGAGCAAGAGTTTTAATTTGAATGCTTGACACTCCAGAAAGCCAGGCATTGTTTACACATTGCAAGCAAGTTGGCTTCAGAGGAAAGATGCCCCAGTGTCTGTGTATATATCGTTCTGTTGTTGTTCTTGAGATTTACTTTGGCTATCCAAGTGCCTGAAGTGGTGCTTTCTGATTTTCTTTCTTTCCTTGCCTCACAATCTACATTCATGGCATGAGCTGATGATTATTAAGAGCTTTAAAACTTCAGCAGTGAGTCTGAACAACAGATTGACAGGCGCCATTGCCGGTGGTCAATCAATTCTGTATTGTCTTGCTAAGAGCAGTAATCCATCAGAGCGGCGGTAGTCTGGGCCCTTACTCACACTCATCTCTCCTGATCCTGTGTCTGCAAAACAAACAAACAAACAAACAAACAAACAAACAAACGTAACAAACAAAACTCAGGAAAGCGTTTGTGAATTGTACAGTACCTCAAGATATCTTGACGAAAAGCACTAAGATCTGAGAGGGGAATCCGAGGTGGTTTATGTCTAGCAAAAGCAGTGTTAGGTGTACCTCAGCTGGCTAGGATAAATAGCAAAGAGGTGACAATGAATGTACTAGATATGTTCTGGATTGATGGGACATCATCTATAGTGAGAGTAAAAACATTATTTCTTTCCATTTTTGTTCCTCCCTGCAGGTGCGTTCGTTACCTGTTTCTTCTCGACCAGTCCTGAAGCTTATTTCCATTGCTCTTTAAAAATGTGTTGCCCAGCTTTGTTGTTTGGGGTGGTGGTGGGCGGGGGGGGGGGGTTTAAGAGACGGTGCTTTGGTTTTGGGGCTGGTCGGGAGTTGTATATTTATTAAAACAACCATAATCAACATTGTTTATATTATGTGATCTAGGCTATATGGTTAGGCTGCATAGAGGTTCCATCACTCAGCTAACTTCTGCGCAAAATACCTCAAATAGCTCATTTGTCATGTTGTTTAGCAAAGGAAGATTATTTCTCTGACACGGAGGAGCTTGATGCTAAAAAAAACTCCTCCAAACAAATTCAAAGAATAGTCTGGGAAATATGTTTGTTTGCTTCCTTGCCTCAAGTTGGAAGAGAAGATCGTTTGCCACTCACGTCTGTATGCTAAATATGAAGCTAGTGCCAGCAGCCAGTTAGCTTGTGCCAGCAGCCAGTTAGCTAGTGTCAGCAGCCAGTTAGCTAGTGTGAGCAGCCAGTTAGCTAGTGTTAGCAGCCAGTTAGCTAGTGTGAGCAGCCAGTTAGCTAGTGTAAGAAGCCAGTTAGCTAGTGCCAGCAACCAGTTAGCTTGTGCCAGCAACCAGTTAGCTTGTGCCAGCAGCCAGTTAGCTTGTGCCAGCAGCCAGTTAGCTAGTGTTAGCAGCCAGTTAGCTAGTGTGAGCAGCCAGTTAGCTAGTGTGAGCAGCCAGTTAGCTAGTGTAAGAAGCCAGTTAGCTAGTGTTAGCAGCCAGTTAGCTAGTGTCAGCAGCCAGTTAGCTAGTGTAAGAAGCCAGTTAGCTAGTGTCAGCAGCCAGTTAGCTAGTGTCAGCAGCCAGTTGGCTAGTGTAAGAAGCCAGTTAGCTAGTGGCAGCAGCCAGCTCTCTCTCTCTCTCCTACTCTCTCTCTCTCTCTCTGTGTGAAAAGCCCTGTGATTGGCCAGAGTCTCCTGTCAGGGGCTACACTTCCTGTAAGTGTAAAAGCGACAACGTGTAGTTCTGAGGAGGATTGTGCTCCAGGCTGCTGCCTGTAGCTTTGTACTGAAAACACATGTATATTTCAGTCGTATCGACCTTCTCATCTAACTCTCAGCAAGAAAGTAAATAGTGTTTCNCAGTTAGCTAGTGTAAGAAGCCAGTTAGCTTGTGCCAGCAGCCAGTTAGCTAGTGTTAGCAGCCAGTTAGCTAGTGTCAGAAGCCAGTTAGCTAGTGTCAGCAGCCAGTTAGCTAGTGTCAGAAGCCAGTTAGCTAGTGTTAGCAGCCAGTTAGCTAGTGTCAGAAGCCAGTTAGCTAGTGTCAGCAGCCAGTTAGCTAGTGGCAGCAGCCAACTCTCTCTCTCTCTCTCACTCTCTCTCTCTCTCTCTCTCTCTCTCTCTCTCTCTCTCTCTCTCTCTCTGTAAAAAGCCCTGTGATTGGCCAGAGTCTCCTGTCAGGGGCTACACTTCCTGTAAGTGTAAAAGCGACAACGTGTAGTTCTGAGGAGGATTGTGCTCCAGGCTGCTGCCTGTAGCTTTGTACTGAAAACACATGTATATTTCAGTCGTATCGACCTTCTCATCTAACTCTCAGCAAGAAAGTAAATAGTGTTTCCCAAAATGTCAAGCTATTCTATTATCAGTCACAATTTACTGTATCTCTCTGTGTGGGTCTTAAATGAAATGTTCAACTGAACATCTTTGTGTCTCGTTTACTCACAATAATCAGTACGCAGCTCATCTGTTCTTACACGAGTAAACTAGCATCCAGAAAGCTAATCCCAGATATTCTCCTAGTTTTTAAATTGGATTTGATACGTGTCACCACCTAGATATGGACGTTCTGCAGAGTTGCCTTGTTGCTCACGCTGATTCTCTGTCTTTGAATTGGATTAGTAGCTGGATTTGTAATTGTAATCATAGATTCATCCAGTACATATCGTCATTTGATAACGGCCGTTTCCACTGACCCGCATTTCCGTAATGCAGTTTGTGTTATTATTGTCGTGGCAATGTTATTGTCCAACCAGAGGGCGTACACACAATTAGCAAAACTGCATATTATTGTCATCAGGCTGCATCATGAAATTAATTTGAATCAAAACTAACTAATCCAATTCAAACCAGTGTTGGTCATTGTTGCCCGTCTGTAACTGTGTTGTCAGTTTTTTCCCCCCCACTATATCTACAGATGTCATGAAGCACATGATCTAAGTGCATTTTCAGTTCACTGAGGAGCTTTGTAACGTGATTGGGGAATTTCAGCACTAGTCTTCTCTCTGTCGCCCGTTGTGTTGCATCAGAATGTATTTCTGTCTCTTCCCTGTCACTGTAAGCAGCTGTCCTTTAGCTCTACTGTCGTGGCCCGGGAGTATTTAAAGATTATTGTATGTGCACTAAAGCATTTTTGTGTGTAATATTTGTTTCGTTGAAATGTCTCAATGCCACTGACATTGCTTTGTTTTTTCTTTCTGGTATTTCTCCCGAAGGAGATTCCATTTATCAGAACTGATGATCAGTTTTACACATTTTATTTTTATCACTGTTGAAGTAGGAGCTAGAAACAGTCCGTGCAGGCCCACTCTGTGTTGCTATCTCTGGTATAGGCACCTGATGTGCGTGTGTGTGTGTGTGTGTGTGTGTGGGGGGGGGGGTTCTGCTGAGCATCAGCAAAATTGACGGAAAGGAAAGACAGCCAGGCGGTGTGGCGGCAGCACAAGGGGAAAGCAGAGTGGTCCGTCAGAAAACCACCCTCAAAACAATCTGTACCAGAATTCCTTCTGTCAGCAAATCCTCTGGAGAGAGAGTCCCTCCAGACAGAAACCCTACTAATGCACTTCAGAGCACACAACAACAGCACAGGCGTTCTCTCTCACCCCGCTCTCCACCGCCGACAAACAGACGACTTGAAACACGCCGGTCAATGCTACGCTTGTTTGTTCCGTGTTTTGTGGTCCTTCCTTTGTGTCTTGATCTTTTTCTACAGTGTTTCAATCTAGCTTTGTTTTTGTTTTTTTGGTTTTTGTTTTTGGTTTTCTTTAGGGAAATCTTTCCTTCAATGGACGCTAGAGTTCTTCTTTAAAGCATTTTCTACCTCATGGCTACAAAACACACGTGGTATTTGATTTACGTCTTTCCAAATGTCAGACATTTGTGAAAAATGCATTGAAAAATAAATAAAAAAATTAGAAGAAGAAGAAGAAGAAGAAGAAGAAGAAGTGGAAACAATAACACCATAAAATTTTGCGCAGTCTACCTCAGATGACTGTACTTAAACATTTAGCTGATGGTGCAACCGCAGGCTGCAGCATAGCCTAGTGTGTGTGTGTGTGTGTGTGTGTGTGTGTGTGTGT